TAAAAGAGTATACCTTCTTCTCAGCACTTCAATAATCCTTCTCCAAAACTGAGCATATAGTCGGTCACAAAGCCAGCCTCAACAGATACCACGGACTAAAGCTGGACTTCAACAACAACAGAAACACTGGAGAGCCTACATACGTTTGGAAATTGAAGAACTCTCTACTCAATGATTTCTAGATCAGGAAGAAATAAAGAAATTAAAGACTTTCTAGAATTCAATGAAAACATACCCAAATTTATGGGACACAATGAAAGCAGGCCTGAGAGGAAAGTTCACAGCACTAAGTGCCTCCATAAAGAAATTAGAAAATTCTCATATCAGCAATTGAAAAGTACATCTAAAGGCTCTAGAAAAAAAAAAAAAGAAGCAAGCACACTGAAGAGGAGTAGAAAGCAGGAAATAATTAAAATTAGGCCTAAAATCAGTCAGTTAGAAACAAAGAAAACAATACAAAGAATCAATAAAACCAAGAGCTGGTTCTTTGAGAAAAACAAGATAGACAAACCCTTAGTCAAACTAACCAAGAGACAGAGAGACAGTATCCTGTAGGTGGAGGTGTTGTTTCCTTAATTGGTTCTTGATTGTGTCAATAAAGACGGCAGAATCCAAATGCTGGCCAAAGAAAAAAGGTCGGATTTCCAGGTCCCACGTGAGGAGAGGAGGGGACAGAGAGGGGCTTGCAGCCGGGCTTTTAGAGGGAGAGGAGGCATATGCCATGTAGGCCTGAGGGCAACTAGAACCTGTAACAGTTTCCACCACTAATAGCTAATGAGTGTAGGGCTATAGATTCTGCGCCCAGAAGTTGTGTTATCAGGTTCGTTTTAAAACATTAAGGCTGTCTTGTGTTTTCCATTCGTGGTGTTAAAGTAGGCTGGAAGAAAAAGAACACTGTCGGGGCAGAATTCAGCAGGCTTCTGCAGGCTTTGAAGTGGGAGAATCAGGAGAAGGACGGAGTTCCAGGGAAGAAGTTACCAGGTGGAGCACTGGCTGGCAGGCAAAGGAGCAAGCTTTTTTTTTTTTTAAAATTACTTGCAACAGTATCTAAATAAACAAAATCACTAATGAAAAGGGAGACCTAACCACTGAGGAAGTTCAAAGAGCCATTAGGCCTTACTTCAAAAACCTGTACTCCACAAAATTGGAAAATCTTAATGAAATAGATGATTTTCTAGACAGATATCACTTTAAAAAGTTAAATCAAGATCAGTTAAACTATTTAAACAGCCCCATAAGCCCAATTTCTTTAGAAATAGAAGCAGTCATTAAAAGTCTCCAAATAAAAAAAGCGCAGAGCCAGATGGTGCAGAATTCTACCAGACTTTCGATGAAGAGCTAATTCCAATATTCCTCAAACTATTCCATAAAATAGAAACAGAAGGAACACTGCCAAACTCATTCTATTAGGTCACAGTCACCCTGATGCCTACACCTCAGAAAAACTCAACAAAAAACTAGAACTTCAGACTGATATCTTTTATGAACATTTATGCAAAAAGACTCAATAAAATATTCGCAAACCAAATCTAGGAACACATGAAAGATATCATCCATCAAGATCAAGGCTTCATCCCAGGGATGCAGTGATGGTTCAATATCCAAAAATCAACGTAATCCACCATATAAACAAACTGAAAGAAAAAAATCACATGACTATCTCATTAGATGCCTTTGATAAACCACAACATCCATTCATGTTAAATGTATTAGAGAAATCAGGGATACAGAGTACATACCTAAATATAATCAAGGCAATACACAGCAAGCCAATAGTCAACATCAAACTAAATGGAGAGAAACTTAAAGCATTTCCACTAAAATCGGGGACAAGACAAAGCTGCCCACTCTCTCCCTATCTATTCAATATAGTACTTGAAGTCCTAGCCAGAGCAATAAGACAACTAAAAGAGATCAAGGAGATACAAATCAGAAAGGAAGACGTCAAAAGTATCTCTATTTGTGGATGATATGATAGTATACATAATCAGCCTCCAAAATTTGACCAGAGAACTCCACAGCTGATACACACCTTCAGCAAAGTGGCCTGATACAAAATTAACTCAAAGAAATCAGTAGTCCTCCTTTATACAAATGATAAATGGGCCAAGAAAGAAATTAAGGAAACAACACTCTTTACAATTCTTAGTAATCTGTTAAACTCCACCTCCACAGTCACTTGGCAACAGCCAGGTATGCTCCTCCCCAGGGTTACCTGGCAACAGGCAGGTAACCCTGCCCACTATAAAAGGGGCTGCCTGCCTCCTCCTCTCTCTCTTGCTCGTTGACCTGTGCCTGCAGGTTGCTGTCTCTCCTCCCCCCTTCCCTTCCCCCTCTCTCAACGTGGTCATGGCCGGCCTCTACTCTCTCTACTCCCCTCTCTCTCTCCTCTCGCTCTCCCTCTCTCTTAATAAACTCTCCCTCGTGGAACCGTCTGGTCTGCTGTGATCTGTCCAGGCTGCGTGTGAAAACCTTTCAACAATAGCCACGAATAATAGAAAATATCTTGGTGTAACTCTAACCAAGCAAGGCCTGTATGACAAGAACTTCAAGTCCCTGAGGAAAGAAATTGAAGAAGATACCAAAAGATGGAAAGATCTCCCATGCTCAAGGATTGGTAGGATTAACATAGTGAAAATGGCCATCTTACTAAAAGCAATCTACAAATTCAATGCAATCCGCACCAAACTTTCAACACCATTTTTTTTTATAGATCTTGGAAGAGCATCTCAACATAAAATTAGATACAGTAGGAACTCTCATAGAAGAGAGTGGAAAATACCCTTGAATGCATCAGTACAGGAGACAGTTTTCTAAACAGAACAGCAATGGCTCAGGTTCTAAGATCAACAGTCAATTAATGAGACCTCAGGAAACTGAAAGCATCTGTGAGGCAAAGGGCATTGTCAATAGAACACATCAGCAACTACAGACTAGGAAAGGATCTTCGCCAACCATACATCTGTCAGAGAGCTAATACTCAAAATTTGTAAATAACTCAAGAAGGTAGACATCAACAACCCAAATAACCTAATTTAAAAATAGGGTACAGAGCTAAACAGAATTCTCAACAGAGGACTCTGTAATGGCAGAGAAGTACTTAAAGAAATGTTCAAAGTCCTTAGTCATCAGGGAAATGCAAATCAAAACAACTATAAAGTGCCATCTTACAGCCATCAGAATGGCTAAGATAAAAATTTCATGAGATAGAATATGCTGGTGAGGATGTAGAGCAAGGGGAGCTGGTGGGAGTGAAAACTTGTACAACCACTTTGGAAATCAATTTGGTGGTTTATCAGAAAACTGGGAATAGTTCCACCTCAAGCTCCAGCTATACCACTCCTGAGCATATACCCAACAGATGCTCCAACATCCCACAGAGACACTTGTTCAACTGTGCTCATGACAGCTTTAACAACCTAGATGTCCCTCAGCTGAAGAATGGATAAAGATATGGTACATTTACACAATGGAATACTATTAAGCTACTATACTACAAGACATCAAGAATTTTGCAGGCAAATGGATGGAATTTGGGAATATCATCCTGAGTGAGGTAACCCAGTTCCAAAAGGACATGCATGGTATGTACCCACTTATAAGTGGATATTAGCTATAAAATACAGGTACCACGTTACACCCCTAAGAACCAAAGAAGCTAAACAAGAAGGAAGGCCCAAGCAAAGATGCTTGAATCTCACTTAGAAGGGAGAATAAGACAGTCATAAGAGGCAGATGGAGGGAGGGAACTGGGAGGGAGGGGGTTTGGTGAGAGGAATGGAAGGTTCAGGATCAGGTGTGGGGAGGGACAGAAGAGATGGCTACAAGGCCATGAGAATGAGTGGAAATCTAAACTGATGGGGTGGAGGGGCATCTCCAGGAGGAAACAGAGACCTGGGGTAAGGGAGGCTCCCAAGAATCAACAGGAGTGGCCTTAGCTGTGACTCACTACATGGGGAATATGGAACCTGAAGAGGCCACTTCCTGTATCCAGAACGGAACCCCAGTGGATCGATAGAGACACCAACCCACCCACAAAACTTTCAACCCCAAATCTATCCTGTCTTCAAGTAATGCAGCCATGGGGGAGGGAGCAGAGACTGAGGGAATGACCAACCAATAACCATCCCACTTGAGACCCAGCCCATGGGTAACTATTGATATTCTGCTATGCTTGCAGACAGGAACAAGTTGTCCTCTGAGAGGTTCCACCAGCAGCTGACTCAGACAGATACAGACACCCACAGCCAAACAGTGGATAGAGCTTGGGGGCTCTTACGGAAGAATAGGAGGAAGGATTGTGGGTCCTAGAGAGGATAGGAACTCCACAGGAAGATCAACAGAGTCAACTAACCTGGACCCTTGGGGCTCTGAGAAGTCTGAACCACCAACCAAAGAACATACACAGGCTGGACATAGGCCTCCCCGCTCATAGATAGCAGATGTGCAGTTTGACCTTTATGTGGGTCTTGAACAACTGAAGCGGAGGCTATCCCAAAAGCTGTTGCCGATACATGGGATATGTTCTTCTAGGTGGGCTGCCTTCAGAGGGAGAGGACGCACCTACCCTCAGAGAGACTTGAAATACCAGGGTGGAGGGGATGGGGGGCTACCCAGGAGGTCCCCACGTGCCCAGAGGAGAAAGGGGGGGGGGATTGTGGGAGAGGGTAACCAAAAGGGGAGCAGTGAGTAGGATGTAAAGCAAATTTTTAAAAATTAATTAAAAAATATATATATATAAAGAAATATAAGGAATCTCCTTAAAAAACTAAATCCATTCCATCTAAAGCTTAAGATAAACATCCCACAGACGTCTCCACTTGTCATCTCTTAGTCCATGGAACTACACGGAAAACAGAGTGGTGGTATAAGATTGTAACTCTGGCCCTTAGAGTTCTAAATACCTTCACGGAACACAGACCACCCAGGAAGCCGTCACTATTTGCATATGGCCTCGCCCACTTCATGCAAGTTCCCCGCCCCTTTCCCTGGGCGCCTGCGAATGACGCCAAGCGGGCGCCCGCGCCTGCGCGCTGTTCCCCTTCGCGGAGCTCAGAGTAATCTCTCCCAGCGACTCGGGCTCCAGCCTGCGCCGGGTTCAAGCCGAAGATCATGAACCGCAGCCGCCAAGTGACCTGCGTGGCCTGGGTCCGCCGCGGCGTGGCCAAAGAGACACCAGACAAGGTGAGGTCTGTGTGTGTGGAGGCGCCTCGGGATGCCCCCGGGCTCGGCCCGGTCTGGGGACGCACGCGCCCGGCAGAAGCCACGCGATGGGACCTGCCTGGGTTGGCCCGACTGTAGCCACGTGAGGTATGGCTCCGTTGCTTATAGCGAGCAGAGACCCCGCGCCCCTTCCCTGCCAGAAGCCGGAACCCCGGTCCCACCCCCTAGATGCGCTAGCACGTGGACTTTGTGCACCGGGAAGGAGCGGGGATGCTTGCTTATTAGGAGTTTGTTACGGTGATCCAGATAAAACGTTATGGGGCAGAGAGAACAAGGTAAGGTGTCAGTGTGACACAGTATGAAGGAAGTCGTACAAGAGCTGGAGACCGTGGCCAAGGAAGCGATTACTCAGGCGATTTTGTTTATTACACTGTTTTCTGCAAGTCAAGTGGAGCCTGGAGTTCGGGATATTTTGGAGCGATATAGAGCAAAGCCCTGGTTTTTGCACTTGATTTTCGGGGTGTCAGGGGGTGTAAGTGTCCTAAAAGAAGTGAAGGGGTTGCATTGTCTGGGTGATAACAACTCGCTCTATGATAGACTTGGAAGTGACCTCGACATGAATTTACATGCGGTGAAGAATGGAAAACTCCTTATAGGTGTAAATTCCACCAGAGTACAGATAGTGTTTAGTCACTGTTTTCTTTGGTGTTTTGCCAACAGCAAGCAGTCAATGTATATTTATAGGATTACCTATTAACATTTCTCCAAAAAGAAATTGTTTTCATTTTAAAAGGGGCACACACAGCTTTTGAAGTATTCAAAGGAGAGTCTTTAAAATCCCCAGTTCTCATGCCCCAACCCCAAGCAATACAAATACCTGTGTGTGTGTGTGTGGGGGGGGGGATGTGTGCGTGTGTGGGCGCTGTCTGACCGAACCCAGAGCTAGCCAGTTGAGATAGAGTGGCTAGCCAAAGCACCGGGAATTCTCCTGTCTCTAGTCCCCAGTGCTGAGATTACAGGTGTGCTCTACACTATACCCAGCGTGTAAGTGGGTTCTTACACACTGTAACTGAGGTTCTTAGGCTTGCTCAACAAACACTTTGCTGACTGACCTCCCTGCCTTCCCCAGTGTCATTCAACCTTTAATTTCTGGCTCTTTCTCAGACAGAACTGAATGTCTTTCTCAGGAAGATTCTTGTATCACAAAATTTGTTGTTGTTGTTTTGGAGACCAGGTCTCACTCTGTAGCCCACCATGGCCTCAGACTTATGGCAATCCTCCCGCTTCAGCCTCCCAAATACTAGAGTTTTAGGTGTGAGCCACTGAAGATCTGGAGGCTCTTTAGTAGAAGCTGAGCAAGTGATTCCCCTTCAATCATGGAGTATTGCCATTATGGCCAGCACACACTGTGGGCTTAAGTAAATAAACAATACCAAACCAGCCAAATTTCCAAATACCAACAATACCAAATTTCCACACCTAATGTAGTAGTGTTAGGTCTGATCTTGTCTTTTGTTTAGTCAGGGTTTCTTTGTGTAGCTGTTCTGTAACTCACTCTGTAGACCAGGAAGGCCTTGAACTCACAAAGCTCCACCTGCCTCTTCCTCCTCTCGGATTAAAGGCGTGTACCTCCACCACCTGGCTGTTAGGTGTCTTAAAGGTAGTAAGGCACTGTTTAGGTGAGGGAAAGCCAATTTTGAAGAGTGTGGCCTTAGTTTTGAACTCCATTAGAACAAAAGATAGCCAAATGGGAAGTGTTACTGGAAGTGGGGAATTCAAGACTGGGGGAAGTTGGGGGTAACTGGTTCCCAGAAAGAATCCATTTACATTCGGCAGTGATGGTAGGGAAAAAGCAGAGAACCAATGTTATGTGGCTTGTTAGTAGGTGACCGCTGCCAAGAGAGGGAGGTGCCCTTGGAGTCTGAGATAGTTGGAAGAAACATGGCCACCGCAGATCCCTTTTACAGAAGCCAACCTATTTGAATATTCCAGTAACACTTCCTATTTGGCTATCTTTTGTTCTAGAGGAGCAGAGTGAGCATGACCACTGAACAGTGTTAGGTGGGAGGGGTCTTAATCATGAGGATTTGTGCAAGCTCCGCCTCCTGAAATTTAGAGCCTAGATCACGTGTGAGGTTTCCTGATGGCTCTTGAGGTTGTAGGTAACATTCGTTTGGAGACTCAGTCCAGAGGCTTCTAATGATGTCCCTAAATGTGCTCCAATGAAGTGTTTGCTCTCTTGCAGGTAGAGCTGAGTAAAGAGGAGGTGAAACGTCTCATTGCTGAAGCAAAAGAAAAATTACAGTAAGTGATTTCAAATAGTTTCAAAGTCTTGCTGACTGTGGTCAAGTCCAGGCGCAGTATGTCGTGTGTCTGTTGTTAGGAGGTACCATCATGGTGACATCTTTTCCTTTTCTGTCTTCACTCAGAGAAGAAGGCGGGAGTGAGGAGGAGGAGGAGGCAGGCAGTCCTTCAGAAGATGGCATGCAGAGTGCCGGGACCCAGGCACGGTGTAGGGAGCCCCCGGAGGATGGGGACCCACAAGATGACCGCACTCTAGAAGATGACGAGCTGGCAGAGTATGACTTAGACAATTACGACGAAGAGGACAACCCAGGTGAGAAGCAGCTCACCTCCACGTGTCTGCCACAGCGCTCTGTGTCTCAGTCTGCTCTGTTGTCCCAGAGCTTTTGTCTACTTTACTGTCCTGAGGTTAGGTCAGATAATTCGGCTTAACATTTGGACCTGTTTCCTAAACTAGTTCAGAAGGAAGCTCTGATCTCCTGGTCTAAGGTGTAAGTGTGAGATCTAAAGAGACCGTCTACTTTATTGCACGTGTCAGGTGTGACCATCTGTAGCTGGCTAGTGAGCTGTCTGCACTGTTATTGGGGATAATGAGAGGGGGCCCAGGTGGCAGGAGGGGAAGGAGGTGCAGCAAAGGCATCGAGACCCAGCAGGAAGCCCAGGAGAAGCGTACTACTGAGAACACTGGAAAGCTACTCATTTAGCACAGGAAGCAGAGCCATCCACAAATGTAGAGACCTGGCGGAAGCTGTATAGTTTGGTTCCTGACCTTCTGGTGTGGTCTCCAGGAAACAGTTGCTTGAAATCTGCAGGGTGAGGAAAAGGCGGCAGCGTTGTCCTTCTGAGTAGTTAATAAGCTCCGTCCCGTGTCAGTCCCGGCCGTTCTGGAGCTTTGTGGGATTCTCAGAGTCAGCCACTCGCAGCTTACAACAGCTCAGAGACAGACGAGCAGGTGCACGAGACATCAGCCAGTCTGGGTTTTGCTGTTTGCAGCAAATTGAAGTCACCACCGCTACTCCGATTTCAGTGGGCGAGTGGTGGTCTACAGAGAGATGCTGTTCCTTAGGTAAAGGAGGGCACACAAGCAGCAGAGAAGTGCGTTTGTTTGTTTGTTTTGGTTTTCCAAGACAGGGTTTCCCTGTGCAGCTCTGGCTGTCCTGGAACTCACTCTGTAGACCAGGCTGGCTTCGAACTCAGAAATCCCCCTGCCTCTGCCTCCCAAGTGCTGGGATTAAAGGCGTGTGCCACCACTGCCCGGCAGGTGCTCAGTGTTGATGCTTTTGTGCCTTTTGGTGGTCACTGCTGCTCTGTTCCTCATTCCTCATGAGGTCTTACCATTCTCAGCTTTACTGCCCCCCAAGGGATGGAGGGGAATACGATATCGTCGGGCTGGGTGGGGCTGTGGAGTCGGGTGCTGTTTCTTTTCATAGGAGCTTGGATTTGGTTTGCCTTCCATTTCAGCCCTACCACTTGCCCTCTACCAGGCAGAAATAATGCCATCATACTATAAACGTGTTGTTAGGTCAGAACTCCGTGGATTTACTCCCTTCCTGGAAAATTATCATCTGACAACCCATTCCCTAACACAAGAGCCTTCAAAAGATATGTCAGATCCAAACCATGGCAGTCACCCTGGGTCCGCTCAGTGCTGCCCTTACAAAGGGAGTATAAACATTCCTGTTTGAGATTGTAAATACGCAAGCACCACCTGCAGAGCAGCCTGGCCACTGTGAAGCCCGACATCTTAGTCTTTACCTAACAACCTGGCTTGTTGATATCAGTGTCTCGGGGAGCACTTTCTTCAGAATACTCAAAGCTGCCTCTCCAGCACCTTGACTTCTAATTGTATGGAACAAGCTAGACAATCTGAAGAGCTGTAATGCTTTCTGAAAGGGTTAAATTTTTGATTTAATCCTTTCATTGGAAGATTGTGACTTCCAAGACTTAGGAATTGTTTCCAGATGTCAAATAGAAATGACTTGGAAGTTTGTACAGCTTCCTGTACCAAATAAATATGAGCAGTGTGGTTACTGATAAAGTGACCCAAGCAGAAAACTAGAAGTCTTGGGGGGGAAGTTTTGTCAAAATGATTTTTAACTTTACTATTTTGACGGATGGCTTCTGATTACAGATGCTGAGACCATTGGTGAGTCTCTGTTGGGTCTTACGGTCTATGGCAGTAATGATCAGGATCCATACGTCACCCTGAAGGACACGGTAAATGTTTACACATCAGTGTTCGGATTGGTCCTAAGTGTTGAGATCCTCACTGGATCCCTGACTCTAGCCAGTGACTGTTTCCTGCCCACTTAGGAACAATATGAGCATGAAGATTTCTTGATTAAGCCGACTGACAGCCTCATCGTTTGTGGCCGTGCTGAGCAAGACCAGTGCAATTTGGAGGTGCACGGTGAGTGAAGGAGCTGCCCACTAGAAAGCTTTCCATGTGATGCTAGGACACTCGTGGGCAGCTTTAGAGGCCAGGTCCCACAGCGCCTCATTTGAGTTGGTGACACAAACCAGGTTTACACCATCCATCCGGTGCTGCTTATTCTAGGCACGTATAGTCTAGAAATAAGCCCCCTTCGGGAAGGAGTTCTTGTTTTTATTTCTTTGTGTCTAAGTGTTCTGCCTGAATGTAACTGCATTGTGTATATGTTTAGTGCCCAGAGAACTGCAACAGGGTGTCAGCTCCTTGGAACTAGAGTTAGTGACAGTTGTGAGCAGCTGTGGGATCTGGGGATTAGACCCAGGTCCTCTGCAAGAGCAACAAGTGATCTTGTCCTGCATTGTTTTGTGTTGTTTGTTTTTTAGCTTCTTGAGACAGTTTCCTTCACAGAACATTTTATTTTCTTCTTAATTCAACACAGAGCTACCATTTTTTATAAAGATTTAATTCATCCTATACATTTGCCTACGCTTATGTTTGTGTACTGGGAGTGTTACTACCTCATAACTATTTTTGCTACTGTTATATGAATCATAACGTAGATATCTGTGTTTTCCAATGGTCTTAGGAGACCTCTATGAAAGAGTCATTCAACCCCTAGAGGGTTCACAACTCATAGGGAAACCTATAATTATTAGTTGTCCATTTTAACCCACATATCATTGTTTTCTGTCAATATTTGTAAAATTTTTCTAAAATAAGGCTTTCAATAGCATGTATAACATGAAATTGTTCTAATGTTTTAATGTTAGCATAGGCCTATAACCCAGCATTTGGGAGGCTGGTACAGAATCCATGCAAAAGAACTGTAAATAGTATTAGTCTCTGTGAGACTGGTTTTATGCATGCACGTCTGAGATCAGTTTAATTTACAGTGTATGCTGCACATTGGCGGTGGCTAAGGGTTTTTCAGGACCGTGCCTTCTCAGCAGATAGAACATGATGTGAAATTTCCCAGTTCCCAGAATCTTTCCCATAATCAGAGATCTGGGGGGAAAATAGTGTTTATTTTTATAAGTTCTTCCTTAATAAAGAGCCTATTAAAGGAGACAGGGACAAGCAGAACTTTCTTACTGGGCTTTCTTAATGTGATTTTGCTCCTTAACTTCCTGTGTGCTGAAGAGCTGCTTTTGTGAGTTGCCGTATTTGAAAGGGAGTCCCTTAAATGTTTGTTCTACATTGTTGGTCTTCATAAAGTCTTGGAATATTGAAATAATTTTAGCAGGCATCTAGATTACTTTCCTCCAATGTTGTTTTTGTTTGTTGTTTCTGACTTAAAATCAGCTAGACCTTCAGCTGATAACGTCAGTCCTGGTTGCAGGGTGTGTTTTTGTAGTGAAGGAAGCAGACAGAGTCATTTATCTGTCTGGCAGTATTCATGGAAAGTGGCAGGAGGTGAGAGTGTACTAACTGGACAGACATGCTGTAGTAGTGGTGACCGTGGCATCTCTTTTCAGTGCCATCACCTGTCTTGTTTTAACAGTGTTCTGAGGTGGGTGACATTTCTCTTACTAAAGTCTCTCTTCCTGATCTTTTTAGTCTACAATCAAGAAGAGGAGTCTTTCTATGTCCATCATGATATACTCCTGTCTGCCTACCCTCTGAGTGTGGAGTGGCTGAATTTTGATCCTAGCCCAGATGCGTCTACTGGTAATTGGGAAACTCGTTTGTTCTTCATGGGTCAGAACTGTTGCTGAGAGTGTGAACTGGTACTTATGTCATCCCTAGTTAATGTCACATCATTTGGGGAGTGTACCTCCAGACTTAAGATAAGCTGCTATACTATGGGATGAAAGCTGCTATCTTGAGAGCTTTTTTGACTATAGATTTATTGGATCTCGTGAAAGCCTAGTGTAAAATGGTATCATGTTACCACTGGAAGTTAGGGGCATATCCTGTCTCAGAAAGCATTCAGTGAGCCAGAGTGAGCCAGGTATGGTGTGGTGGTGTATCATTAGGGAGCTAGGGAGGAGAATCTTGAGTTCCAGGTCAGCCTGGACTATATAGTGAGACCTTGTCTCAAAATGCTTTAAAAAAAGGCAGATAAAGTAAAAAACAGACCTTGTCCTGGGTAACTAGCTTCTCGTGATGCTCACAGTCTTGAGTTGATCCTTATCCCTGCAGTAGTGCATGGAAGAGAGGCGGTGATGGCGTGGGAACTGTTAGACCTGCAGGGTCCTAAGATGGAGGCTGCTGTGGGGTTGAGAAGCCCTGTTCAGGTCACTTCACAGTGGGATGTGCTTGACTGGTAGATGCACGTGTTAGTTTTGTAATGGAAGGGCACTGTTTCCTTCCATAGGAAATTACATTGCTGTGGGAAACATGACCCCTGTCATTGAGGTGTGGGACCTGGATATCGTGGACTCTCTAGAACCAGTCTTCACACTGGGAAGCAAGCTTTCCAAAAAGAAGAAGAAGAAAGGGAAGAAGGTAAAGAGGAGTGGGTATTTAAAAAGACAAACTGGGCTAAGGTACTGCAGAGGAGGGTATAAGGACATGTACTTTTGCAATCAGATGGTTTGGGTAGAACAGGACAGGAAGTTACAAAGTTAGTATAGTTTCTAATCTCAGAAAGTCCATGTATTCTCTGGTTGCATGAAACTCGCTGGCATGAGATCTCACAGAACAGATGATCCAGTGGTGAGCCTCCGTGTAGAATAGCCATTCTACTCAGTGCTAGGTTTGGATTTTATGTTTCTGCTTACCTGCTTGTGTAGTAAATTCTATTTTTCTTTTAGATTTTATAGTAGGTTTGGGGAGAGGCGAAGGGCAGTGTTGATAGGTTATGAATTGCTATCATTTCCTTCTGAAAAAGAACATTTACAATGATAATTATAGGATGACAGTTTGTGATGGGTTTTTTAATAATTGAAATATATTACAGGGTTCCTCAGTAGAAGGACATACTGATGCTGTCCTTGACCTTTCCTGGAATAAGACAGTCAGGTAAAAAGATGGCATTTGTCTGATGTGGTGTCTACAGTATTCTAGCTCATTCCTGCACTGTCCACCTGCTGTACTTGGGTCTCTGTGCCCATCTTCCCTGCAGTCCATATCACTGGGGCAGCAGCTGTGCTCTGGACTCATCCTCCGTCCCTAGAGCCCCAGGCCTTCTGCACATCCCTCCTCCCTGCCGCATGCCAGTGATGCCCGGGCGCTGCTGCTCCCCAGCAGACAACACCCTCACTTCATTTCATTGTCACACGTCGCCCGCTCTTTCATCTTAAGCAATGGCCAAATACAGCAGAAAGCCATCACTTTGACCCCTCTAAGTTCAGTGAGTCCGCACGGTCGCGCTGTGCAGCTGCTGCCACCACCCAGTCTTCCCAGACTGAACTCTGTTCCTTATAAATCCCAACCCTGCCTTCTCCCCCTTCCTCCCATCCCTGGTTGCCACCATTCCACTTCCTGACGAAATGTATTTAGAGTGTGTTTTGGTTTCTGTTTTCTTTTGTTTCTTGTTGGTCTCAGTATATAGTTATGGCTGTCCTGAAACTCAGTGTGTAGACCAGGCTGCTCTCAAACTCACAGAGCTCCACCTGCCTGTGCCTTCCACGTGCTGGAATTAAAGTCGTGGCCAGTATATCTGGCATGGGTTTTTAAAGATGTAGTCTCACTGTTGCCCAGGTTGTCTCAAGCCCTGCACTCAAGCGGTATTTCTGCCTCAGCTCCCAGAACTGGAACAAGACATGAATTTCTTGGTGGTGGGTGTCGACCATCACAGTGCTCGTTGACCATTACGGGTGGGAAATGTGTTTTCAGATTGAGTTGTGACAGTCTGTTCTGAAGTAATACCTAGCTAGACATGCGTTTTCAGATATGTCTGTCATGCTGTGGGTTGTCTTTACATTCTCTTTGTAAATCATTTTAACATTGATAGTTTTGTCGATTATGTGTTTGCCTCCAAGAAGTACTCCTTAACCCAAGGTCATGAAGATGTGTATTAACGTGCTGTTCTGGGATTTTATTGTGTTGGCTCCCACACTTACGTCTGCCATCCATTTTTGAGGTGTGTGGATGCTGAGATTGGGGGGGGGGATCAAACGTTTTCGCAAGGATACTCCATTGTCCTTTTGTATTCCATTTGTTGAAAATCCCATCACTGTCATTCCCTCAACTTGAACATTTCATTGTCTTAGCGCTTTTAAAAAACAAAAATACCAATCACAGAGAAATGCAAAGTAAAACTCAGGCACAGTTCCAGCTCACTGGGAGCTGAGCCAGGAATACTGCTTGACCACAGGGTTTGAGACAACCTGGGCAACACAGTGAGACTACATCCCAAACAAACAACACAGGCTGGAGAGTTAAGTGGCTCAGTGGTTAAGAGCGCTTAATGCTCTTACAGAGGACCTGAGTTGGTTCCCAGCTTCCACATGCAGTGGCTCACAATAAAGTGTATTTTCTGAGATTTGTTTGTTTGTTCATTTATTTTGGTCAGTCTATAGACTGTCCATTTTGTTGTGATACTCTTTTCCATTAATTTTTTTGGGGACTGTGTGCTTTCCAGTTTGATTATGGGTCCCTTGTATAGGCATAGAGATTTTAGAATCTGCTTGCCATTCTCTGCTGAAGTGAAGTAAGCTGCTAAGCAGAGTGGGTTGGCTATGTCGGTGTGGCTGAGTCTGATCAGCTCGGAGCTCAGCCTGGGGGTGCTATTCACATCTCAACAGTATTACACCTTCCATACAAGTGGAGAAGGGTCTTTCCACTTTGACATTCTTTCCTTTATTTTGATCATCTTTGGTAGTCTTCAGAATGTAAGTCAAGGTTTGTTTTTTAAATGCCTAAGAGTTCACTGTGTTGATGTTACAAGTAAACTTATATTTAATGCTCTTTGTTTTTGAAAATTATTTCTCTCTTTTATCTCTTTCTCAGAAATGTGCTGGCAAGTGCATCAGCAGATAGCACTATAATTCTCTGGGATCTGTCTGTGGGGAAGTCAGCAGCCAGGCTTACTGCTCATACAGACAAGGTATGGTGACTTAGTCAGTAAAAGGCTTCTAAAGAAATGACAGATTACTGGCTAAAGTAATCTGGACATTCGTATATGGCTTTCTGTGACTTATAAAGTACTTTGAACAGCACAGTGAGGCTCACATAGCCCTGTGTGATAGATACCTGTAATCAGGAACATTGATGCCCTGGGATTTGTTCATAGAGGCTCCTGGAGTGGGGGGCAGGGGAGTCCAGTCACAACAGTAGTTAGGGAAGGTTGTAGCAGATGTGTAACTACAGAACTCGGCTCAGGGTGCTGATGTACATATGAAGAACACCAGACTTTGAGATCTGTGCACTTGCCCAATCCAGTCTACTTTTCTCCCATTTCTTCTGAGGGATATAAGTGTTCCACTACAAAGTTTGAAGAATGCTACATTCTTATCAATGCCAGCCTTTATTTGAGAATATGGTTTCCCTTTTTGAGTGTTTAATAACTAGCTTCTTGGCCAGGCATAGTGGCACATACCTTTTAATCTCAGCGCTCAGGAGGCAGAGGAAGTTGAAGGCCATTGGACCAGCCAGGTCTCGGTAGCAAGTTTCAGACCAACCATGCCTATATGATGAGGCCCTCTCAAAAAAACAAAACAAGATTACACACTGTTGCAATTTCAAAGGGGAATGCATAGGAACTGCCAGTTGTCTCAGCATGTTGTAACAGGATTACCCAAAGTAAAGACAGGTCTTTTATCTTTCTTCCCTCCAGGTTCAGACTCTGCAGTTTCATCCATTTGAAGCACAGACTCTGATTTCTGGGTCCTATGACAAGTAAGAAGGCACTTCTTGCACTGCTGTCACATTGTCCTTGAGCTGATTTAAAAGTACCTGACCTGAGTGTAGCTCCGAAAAGCTGTTGTCCAGGGCACATAGGACCTCGAGCTCTGTCTGCACCCAGACAAGCCAGGGGTGCATCTGATGCTCACAAACACTGTAGTGCTGAGGTGCTGTGTGTTTAAATTGTATGTGCTGGTTTTCAACCCCAATCCTATCTAATTACAGGAACTAGCAACTTCTCTGGTTTTTAAAAGATGTATGAGTTAGCCAGGTTTTTATGATATATAAACAACTCAGTGACAGTCTCTTTTTTTCTTTTGAGATTCTGTCCATGTAGACTGAGTTCAGCTGGGAACTGCTCAAAGTGGCTTGGTTAGACACTTGATTCTCCAAGGGCAGAATTTTCAAGGCCTTTGGAGCCTTGCTTCAGAACTAGTACACTTCCTCTCCCTCCCTTCTGTCCTACCTCAGTGTTGTTCCTTCATGCAACATGTCAGATGGCCTGGGACATGGGCTCTGCCTCTATGGGCACATTCCCACATTACATGGCAGAAGCTCTGGGTATAAGAGAAAGGAAGAGCTGGAGCTACTACATCAATTGCAGGAGCCCTGCTCACCCGTGCTCCCCTTTTACAGACTGCGTCTGAGGGAGGGATGGTGAGTACACTCAGAGCAGGAAGCAGTCTGTGTTTTGATTCTTTATCCTTTAGAAGGGTTTAAGTCTCCAGTTTTTCTTAAATGTGACTTGTGAAAAATTGTAAGACAGAATTGTATCCCTTAGTTCCCCAAGCACTAACCTGACTAGAACAGGTTGAATCCTGAATTGCATGGCTCTGAGTCCTACCAGGAAAAGGGAAATAAGAATTGCTCTGGACTTTGGAAATAGGATTCATCCATAAGTCAAGATTTTGACCTGCAGAAGAATTAGGCTCTGGTTAGAGCCACAGTAACTTCCAGTGACAAAAACAAAATCCACCAGTGAAAGTCAATGCAGGGCTGGAGAGATGGCTCAGCATTAAGAACCATTTGTTTGTTCAAAGGATCCTGTTTCAGTTCCAACACCTTAACTCCAGTTCCAGGGGGATCGGATGCCTTCTGTGGCTTCTGTATGCATTACACACACACACACACACACACACACACACACACACACACACACACAAACATTTATGCAGGCAAAATACTCACATAAATAAATCTAAAACAGAAAATGAATAGTTCAGCAGGCTTGAGTCAGTCAGTAGGTTCTCTGCAGGAAGAGTAAGTTCTCCTAAGTTCACTCCTATTCTCACCCCACAGGACCCCATGTCTTCTGACTCACACACACATAATGGGCACCCACACACACACATACATAATGGGCACCACACATACAACACAGTGGAACTTTTCCTTTTTTTTTTTTTAAGTCTAGAACCTTAAAACAAGCTTTAAATAATTGACTTCTGAATTCACTATACTGCTCTGTTACCATTTCACTAAAATAAACGTAACCCTAGCATGCAATGTGTGCAGATCGGTGGCTCTGTATGACTGCAGAGATCCCAGCCAGAACCACCGCCTATGGCGGTTCAGTGGGCAGATCGAGAGAGTGACCTGGAACCACTTCTCACCGTGTCATTTCTTGGTAAGAATATGTTCATTGTTTTTTCTAATTCCATTATAGAGAGATTCTCAGAAAAGCAGTTTCTCTGCTAGTGTCAAGTTTCTGGGCCTTAGAATTGAAAAACTGAAGTGTGTTGCTTAACAATACAAAAAAAAATTACTTAACTACAAAAAAAATTAGTAGTTAGTGAATTCGCTAATTTCAGCTGTTTCATTGGGCTACATATTATTTTTATATTTTTTAATCATTTTACTACATATAGTATTTTTGAAATTAAGCATAATAATCTGTTTCAAGGTTTCAATATAGGATCTGTGTAGCCCAGGCTGGCCTTGATCGTGCACATTCTCCTTCTTATTTTTGGTGGTTTTTAATGGTTAAATCAATCCAAAAGATACTCTTTCTTAATTCCTTATATGTGGATTAAACTCTAGAGATGAGGATTGCCAGTAGTAATAGCACTACCTACCAAATGGGAAGAAAGTAGAGACTTTGTAATCATTCCGCTAACATCAGGCAAACAGTCCTAGTGTGGCAAGGGACGCTGTCCCGTCCCCCGCCTTTGCTGTGTCAGTGTCACTGTGTGTGTGGAGCTTTAGGTGTCGGATCTTCTTTGCTCCCTGATTCTCATTTCCATCTGTCACTCCCTGCTATGGCAGTACTGAGACCTGCTCTGACCATGCTGAACAC